AAAAGGAAATAATGTATCTAAAACAGAGAGACCTAAAATTGTTGTCATTGTTAGAAATGATAAAAGGAAATAATGTGTCTAAAACAGACAGACCTAAAATAATTGTCATTGTTAGAAATGATAAAAGGAAATAATGTATCTAAAACAGAGAGACCTAAAATTGTTGTCATTGTTAGAAATGATAAAAGGAAATAATGTATCTAAAACAGAGACAGACCTAAAATTGTTGTCATTGTTAGACATGATAAAAGGAAATAATGTAACTAAAACAGAGAGACCTAAAATTGTTGTCATTGTTAGAAATGATAAAAGGAAATAATGTATCTAAAACAGAGACAGACCTAAAATTGTTGTCATTGTTAGAAATGATAAAGGAAATAATGTATCTAAACAGACAGACCTAAATAATTGTCATTGTTAGACATGATAAAAGGAAATAATGTATCTAAAACAGAGAGACTGACCTAAAATTGTTGAGATACATTATTTCCTTTTATCATGTCTAACAATGATGTCTCTGTTTTGACCTAAAATGTGACTCGCTGACGCAACAGCATAATTTTCACAATTACAATCATTAAAAAGCAGTTCAAATTGTTAAAATATTACATATTTCATTTTAAACCCATTTTTTAAATAGGTACATTAAATGATATTATGAAACCGAATCCGTATTCTTTTGTTTCATTCTTCAAACATTTTTTGTTTGTTTGTAAAATTTAGTGCAAGTTACTCGAGGGCTATCTGCGCTTGCCGTCCCCAATTTAGAAGTGATAGACATAGGGAATGCAATTAGTCCACACCACCCATCGCTAACTCTTTACCAACGAAAAGTAGGATTGATTGTCTGTTTTAACAACCTCGCGACTAAAATGGCGAGTATGTTCGATGTTAGGATTTGTACCCAGCAGATTGGGAGTTGAGTGCCTTAATCACCAGAACATGAAAACAAACAAAAAAGAACGAAGCATTGTATGTCATTGTTGGTAGCACTAAATTTGTTTCTTTGTTATACGCAAAGTTACACAATCGAAACCCAATTTTTAGCGTTACAACCCTCAGACTTACTGCTGAACCACCAGGTGGCGACACTAAAGTTTACAACTGATGTTGAAGTTAACGTCCTTTGAAAATCATTTATTAAAAATATTTTATTCGCATCACCTCCCCTTAAATGGATTTATATTTATACTTCCTACATGCACTAATAAATACATTAGATTTTAAACGACTTAACGTACGTCTGCTTTTGTATTTATAGCAAAGCTATTAAGGCTATCTGTAACAGTGCTTAATTTTGAACTACTGACCAAAGGGACGGCAGCTGTGCCATTTGGCTTGTTAAGCTAAAGTGAATACATTTAAAAAGATATGCCACTGAAAATACAACAACTTCTTTTAACTACAGGATAAGCTATCACCTGTAAATCGATATGAGGAGAAACATCATTTTACTTCTGTAACCATGCTTTAAATCTTTAACATTTTCCTTCAGAGTTAACGATATACACCACTAGATGGCAGGAATGCATGAACATGTGCTGTTTGAGACCTTGTTTTTTTCCTGTTCGACTCTTGTCACGATATTACTTAATGTGTTAAACTATTTCAATTAACAAACTTTGAGTGTAAAATATAGTGTTCAGCCTAAAAAAATAAAAAGAACTTTAGGACAAAATTCTTTAATTAGCTGCAAGCTTAAAATTTTCAGTTGAAGTGCTGCCATCTATTAACTATTGAAAATCATCCATTTAAAGAAATATATATTTATTTTGTCTATGCTATAGCAAGTTTCATTTGATGGTTTTAAATATATGTTTCTTATAAACAACTTCTGGAACATTATTCAAACACTTACTTTGATATGTAATGACATAAGAATGATAACCGGAAACAAAGTTACACTTTCAAAAATATATTTACTTCAGTGGTTCAAACAACATTGACGAAAAAATCACAATCTCTTATTCTCATATGATGTGAAAGAAATAATAAAAACGGATAACAGAAATAAATTACTTTTTTTATCGATGAAATCAACCTAAACCTATTTCTGAGTTAAGTTTCCAGTGTTAACACACAAAGACAGGTAAGAGTATGATAAACGAGTTAATTCTATTATTAAATATCACATGAAGAATACATTTTTAAAAATTCGGTTTGAGAAACTTGTTCGTAATAAAACTTCAAACAAGTTGATTTTAACTGTCTACGCTTATGATACCCAATCATTGATAACAACAGTATACTAAGTGATAATATCGTATAATATTGTATTATCATTCTTTTACTATTAGTCTAAAAAGTTTCCCTAAAAAAGATGTAACATGCAAAATCATTGGTTTCATTATTTAGTATTTACCAATATCTGACTGCTTTAAAAACGTCTAAACCTCTTTATTCCTAAACCTAACAATTTATACTTTCTGAATGTTTTAAAAGACATTTCTTCAGTCCATGTTATCATGAATTGCACAAGTTGTCTAAAGATGCATATCGTCTCTATGAGTACTGGACAAATAACTATGACAACAAATGACTAGTGTGACGCCACGTTTCTAGAACTATCCCGTACCTTGGCGCTTCATACTGTTTTGTATCTACTACTGGAAAGGGTACAATTATTCTTCATACTGTTTTGTATCTACTACTGGAAAGGGCACAATTATTCTTCAGACTGTTTTGTATCTACTACTGGAAAGGGTACAATTATTCTTCATACTGTTTTGTATCTACTACTGGAAAGGGTACAATTATTCTTCATACTGTTTTGTACCTACTACAAACATGAACGTAACCATAATTATTGACATCTACTTTAACGATTCAGTCTTCAATACTGTTCCTGACCATCGTTTTTACTTTGTGTTTGTTTCAGCTATAATTTTCTATTTATGTTTAATGTTGGTTTCTTCACACATGTAGGTAGTCTGTCCATTTTAGGAGTGATAATTGTATTAAAGAAAGGATATTGAACATCTAACATGTCTCACTTTTGTTTTCAATCATGCAGACTGAACCCTTGAAACTCTGTCATATGATACTAATATTCTAGTTAATTAGTTTTTATTTTCCCTTTTTTTACAGGCAAGTCCCAAGACATGAAAATCGTTGGTTGTAACATCACAGGAAACAACGGCAGGGGCGTAGCTGTGGAGAACATTAGAAGTGGGATTTCTCTTAAAGATACTCACATTTCTTACAATTCCTATGTGGCAGGCTTGCACGTGCTTTATGGTGCAGGAGATGTTGTCATAAACAACAGTGTGATCAGTCACAATTCCAGAGATGGAGTCAATGTGTCTTACTCCGGAGGATTCCGTCATTTTAACCAATCAATCATCCAGAGTAATGAAGGTAGTGCAGTTGTAGTATGGATCAATGAGACATCCAATAGGCTTGCGTTTAACTTTACTTCTCATTTTACGTTTCTTCACGTACTTCAAAATGGAGAATTTGGTTTATTGTTAGGGAACGTGTGTCGCGCTGACTCGTTTGTTAACATCAGCACTAACTCCTTCCAAGGAAATAAGGAAGCTGCTGTAAAATTTCTCTCGTGCTGGGATCTCCAGAATACTCACAAAGCTACACTCCTTGTAAACCACAATAACTTCGGTAGTAGCTCCAGACTAGCTCTCCACCTAGCTCCCGCCTTCCACGTGGAAGCTGTTGTATCTTATAACCTGTTCACAGAACACGAAACCGGGACCATCCTGGTTTCTAACAGACATTTGGAAGGATACGAAACCGTTGAGACAAAAGTAGAGATCGTGTACAATACTTTTGAGAAGAACAAGGGCTGCTATGTTGCGAACATAGGACTGTTAGATGGAGCTTCTTTGCAAGAATTAATTTTTTCTAAAAACATTCTCAAAGATAATCACATAATTGAACTCTTTCCAGCTTTGAAACCTCGTTCCCGAGTAGCAGCTGTTGTTGCAGTGTCCTCTAGTAATACCAAGGTGGTGAGGAACCATCTGGAAAACCCATTATCAACATATGAAATGGGTTCACATCTAGAATCGAACAGAAATGCTATAAATGCATCATTAAACTATTGGGGAAGTTATACAAAAAACCAAGTACGTGAGCTTTATGATCGCATATTTGATCGCAAAAATCGTTACAACATTGCACCAATAGAATTTCTGCAGTTTCTCCTTTACCCCAATCTAGAAGGAGATGAAATCATTTCCAATGTGGATGAAGTGGATAAGATTACATGGTATAAGGATGATAATAATATTGGGGGTGAAGTAAGGGGTCATGAACGGTTATCTCCAGGAACATACCAAGTGCACAAAGACATTTTTGTTAAGCGTGACAGCAGCCTAAAAATAGAACCAGGTGTGGTACTAAACTTCCAACAATCCATTGGAATGATGGTTCAAGGTAAACTAGAATGCATTGGTAGTAATACACAAAAAATTAATTTCAAACTTTCTGAAACCAATCAATTTAGCCCCTACATTAGATTTTCAAATAAAACAGAATTCACGAAAAACACCAAAAGCTCCAAAATCCAATCTAGCAGAGTAAAAGAGAGAACAAGTACCAAAAACACCAAAGCCGAAACGTACAATGGATTGAACAGCACAGTTAATGCCAAAAATTCCAAAGTTCAGTTCTCTGTTGAGGCAAAAGGCAAAAGAAACAGTAGAAATGATAAAGTAAGACTGTCCAACGGGATGGAAGGAAGACTGGAAGTACAAATAAATAAACAATGGGGAAGTGTTTGTCTATATGGTTGGGACATGGAGGATGCTGCTGTTGCTTGTCATCAGATGGGTCTTGTACTTCATCCTCAGGATTGGTTACTTGAAAAGTCTCTATTTGTAGATCCCTATGATCAGATGAAGGTTCTCTTAAGCAATGTCCAGTGTACTGAATTAGACACTGACGTGACAACCTGCAAAGCAGAAGGACCAGAAGACATGGAAAATTCCTGCACGTTAGCTGTAGGGATGAAATGTTACCAGGCAACTTGGTCTGGAATTCGTATAGGTATGGCAGCAATGGAGAGTTACCTGGAACACGTGGTGGTAGAAGGAGCAGGTTTGTTGGATTACACCACTCATGCATTCAGGCCAGCTGTGCAGGCTGACCTTTATCACCATAGTTTTAAGTACATGAGTATACATAGTAATACAGATTCAGGACTTGGATTGATGTGGAATGATATATTCCATTCTAAAAGCAACCAGAAAATTAGTGATTCTGAATTCCGTAACAACGGACTTCATGGAATTATTACACGTTCTCAAGGAATAGATATTAAAAATAACATATTTGCATATAACCAGGAGAGTGGAATTCATTATGATCCAGTTTTTGAAAAACTGCAACACAGAGACCTCCTGAGTTGGATTGACCCTCCTAAGGATCAACGTGTTACAAGTATTGAACGTGGTAAAGACATAGAAATAACAGGAGCAGAAAAAAAGTATATGTTTATAGATCCTTTGTTATTTCCAGATGATATTACTTTCCAGTTAAGAACGGACAGTGGAAGAAGAATAGGAATATTGGTGCTCAATCCAATTAGTACAGAGTCCTCAGAAGAAGTGATGATTTATGGTGCTTCTGAACCAAGAGATGATGTTCCCTACTGGGATCTAAAGAAAAACTTAACTTCCTTTCCTTTACGAAGCCCTGGCTCCATCCTCACTGTCAGATACAAGAAAAACAATACCCCTGTTGGAACTGCTATCTTACTCCTCTCCTCAGTAGAAGGTAAGTAATATATCATAATGTGTACTCTGCTCTTAACTCTTCAAAATTTTACAGAGAAGTACTATATTTTGTTATATTGTTGGGCAGGTTTTTTTGGACAATTTGGTAGAAAGAAAAATGCACAACCCACCCCACTCCACTTGATAATAATGAAAGCAATTTATTTCTCCGCTTATAAATTCTACAAGTTAGCTTAACTAATGTTGAAAACACTTGTACAGCAATTTCATTTAGTTGCTTGTTTCTCGCCCTCCACCTAACATATGGCATATCTCTTAATATTCCAAAACTGAATTAACTAACTAGCAAACATCATCATGCTCACTACTTTAGGCTCAATCTCATTTACTAACATACTTAGAAATCAATATCTATTCGAGATCAACTCGTGTGTTTTATTTTGAAACTCTTCTATAAAGTTTGGAGAAACTTTCTGGCGTTAAGCCATGTGCTCATCATGTTATTTTAAACTTTCCTTTGGTTAATTAACAGTACAAGCATCTAAATTAAACACATACCCTACAATACTGCCCTTTTTTGGGTTATGAATTTCCTTGAAAAATCCTATTACACAAATCAAACAATAATAAATTAAACTCAAATTTCCATATCTAGCAATAAAGTAACTCTTGATAATTAGCACAATTAATATTCATAAATGTGAACATTACAATAAGAAAATAACTTTTCAAATATATAAAACTTAAAGTTCAATAACAATTTGGTTAACAAACGAAATTATTAAATGTTTACTTATTTGTTGCCTCTAAAGCGATGGTTTTCTTTCCGTGGTTTATAGTATGAAGATGGGATGACCTTTTATCTTTTATCATAACTGGACATCTTGTCATTCAGAGAGTTCTCTTCAGGTAAATGGTCAAGTAAGTTCACTGGTGCTTCATCCCTGTTGATACATTGAAAATAACCTCGACAGGCACCCCAGACTTTTCAGCAGGTTGATTTACTTCAGGCAACGTCTTCCCTGAAGCTAACCAGTGAGCTTTTTACTCGCCAATATACTTCCAAAGATTACATTGCGGATGACATTTGGTTTGGCCTTTCTAGGTTCTGTTCTGTTGCACTTTTGATTGTTTGTTTTCATTATCTTCTGCATCTGTCACTGAAGTTCAACCTCTGGTGCTGTAAGTGTTGTGTGGTGCATATGTATTTCCTGGTTATAAACTGTTTAAAACAAGTCTTAACTCATATCTATTTTTATACATGAATTATATTCCCAACCTGCAACCCACCTTTCGCATATTTGAAAGCACTTTCAACTTAATGTTTACTGTAACTTTATGTCCACCTGCTGTTTGCATCAATCCATCTTCTTTCTTCATCACTGGAGGTAGTCTTCGTTATCTGACCAAGTTGAACAATGGTAGCTGTAGAACTATTGTTTATAAAGATTTTGCAAACTTTCCCATCAATGAACCTGTTGATTCAAGGACTAATTTCTTGACATAATGCATTCCTTATCTTGGTTGGGGTGGCTACAGTGTTTTCACCTTTACAATATTGTCTGCTTAGTTTATTATTAATGATTACAGTGTTAGATGTAATGTCCATGCTTTCCACACTTAATAACAGTTCTATTTTTACTGGTAAACTATGTGAGTAGTTTTTATTTCTTAAGAACTTTTCTGTAGTTCCTGGAAATATGCCATTTTAAATTACAATAAAAAAACACCTTCAGTTCTGTGGTGTAATTCGTTCACTCTGAGTAAATAATTAATATTTTGACTTTATTTTCTGACAATATGCCCTTCTTAATGCCGTTTTAAAAAGAATTGAAACACACTATATCTTGTGATTTACTTCTCCTGGTCTGAGTAAATAGTTGTTTGATAACTCATTTGAGTTATTCTACACCTCCATCAAAGTGAATTGATATTTTTCAACTTCATTCTGTACATTTTCTATGACTTCTTCAGTGTTGTCTTTGATCGCGTTTGTTTGTGTTCATAATTCTTTTGTAAATCTTATGTCTGGTTCTTTTGATCTCTCTCTTGACTCCCGTCCTGTTCTTCTCAATTTTCTGTTCTATATTCTTGATGTTATTTAAATTTTCTGTATCTTTCTTCTTGATCCTGATGAATTGTTTCACATTTTTATTAAATTTTCAATGTGGTTTCTAGAACGGCTCGTGACCTTAAAGCTCAGTCTTGATTCTGATGTATTTTACCAACATACTGTTACGTCTCCGTTTGTTAATTAACTTCCCATAACTTCGTTCCGACGAAACTTTAGCGACACAAGTCCTTACTTAATAAAACTGGTTTATTCTTTCCGAATATAACTTTACGATACACTTGTTTTCAACAATCGCGCTAAAACATACGCTATATCAACGAACGTTAACTTCAACAATAAGTCTCTCTCTGACTGCAGTTCAATTACTCATTACCTACACACACATTACATTATTCTCTCATCACGTTGTCACCCTCTTTTATATACCAGGCTACCCTATATCTAGTAAATACTAGAGCATTAATAATTGTGCCCTTTCCAGTAGTAGATACAAAACAGTC